AGAGAGAGAGAGAGAGAGAGAGAGAGAGAGAGAGAGAGAGAGAGAGAGAGAGAGAGAGAGAGAGAGAGAGAGAGAGAGAGAGAGAGAGAGAGAAAATCTCTCCGGGGCCAGACCTGGGTGTGAGGCACTGTACTTCGGACAGCGTGCAAATGCTCTCTCCACTGATCTGGATAATGTCCGCATTCTCCATCACATTCTTGTGGAAATTCTGACAAGAAGAAATAGAACATTTTTGGGGAGTCAGTATAAACATTCACCCTTTTCAATATATCTTAAATTTAATCAAACTTAATATCACAAATATGTAAACTACCACATCATAATTTCATTTCCAATCCAAATATATTTCTTCAGTGCACTTTCCACTTTATTTAATATCATGCTTTAAGCTAACAACAACGAATCATGTACATTCCACATTGTCCAAGACTTACACATTGCTATAGAGAAAAGTGTTTGTCTTATATGGGTGGATGTCTTGGACGGCATGATTGTAAAATAGAACCAAAAAAATATGAGGGAGGGGTAAGTGAAAAGTGGACGACATAGCAGGGCTGCACGTCTAATGCTGGTCTACAAGGGTTCCAGTTCCATATCTCACCTGTTATCCAAACCTTCAAGAGCTGATTAGTTAAAATCTTTTTACAGAATCTACACTAAAGAAACACACCAAACAAACACAATATCAACTTACAGTCACAGCATCTGTCTCGTTATCTGGATCAGGAGGAATGTGAAATCGGACCTCCATCAAGGAAACTGCAGCATCATCGTTCTGATGGAACTCAATGGTCACTTCATTCTTCGCAGTTGTGGAGTTCATGACATTTGTCAACGGAATTTCAAATGCCAAGTTGGAGTCCACTTTGAAGTTCAATGAGTTGCCTGTGAAAATGAGCAAATCAATTAAGTATGTGTGAACAAGAACTTGCTTCAAATGCTTAAAAAGTCCTATCAATCAAACATCAACCGAAATAAGTACCTAAATGAGCATGACGCCCCCTATTGCACCAAAGCTGTCAAACATTTCTTATTTACTTAAAAGGCAAAGAAATGTCTTAACAAGGTAACATTATTTAGAATTATGCTAAAACTTTACCCTGACACAAAAATCAACCGCAAGGAGAGCATTGAATATAATAAACTCTTTGGTCTCTCCTGTAAAACTCACCCGATGCACTTGTAGTTTGACTACATAATAAAGGTCCCAAAATGAGTACATTCATTCTGTATAACCTATTACATGTTCAGTGTTTATTCATGTAAACAGAAATACCATATCTTCAATCAATTATTTTGTTCTTTTAATTGCAAACTTTCATGTCCCAGGTTTATCCCTGCTAATGAACTCTAATTGTTCCAGTATAACATTCTTAAAAAGAATCAAATCAATACTTCAGGAAACATATAATACCTTCAAAATCGGCAGAGCCCCAGTTCCATCCTTTCAGAGACTTGTCCACCTTTTCCAGACTAAGCGCATAACTGTTTGAAATAAACTTTGACAGTTTTTCAAATTCCTGAAAAGCAACAATCAAAATACATCAATTGCTTTAACAAAAGAGGAAAAAACATTTAATTTAATTTCATCAGAACACACTAAATAATTTTTATATTTTGTCAAAAGACCTCGCAAAATAAATAAAAGTCATAATCTTGTTGTCTGTTACGAATCATCCTAAAACTGCTAATATGTTTTGCCAAAGTTACACCAGTGAGCGAGACCCTATCTCCAACCTGGCACGACTGGTACAAAATACACACGGAAAACAGAGTTTACTATACAAAATCTTATTGACTATTTTGAAGATTTTTCTAAATTAAATGCTGCTAATGATCAGGACTACCCTGAGTGGGATTGTATAGAAAGTGATTCTGACGATCCTATAAAAATTAGTAATACATTGCTCAGGAGATCAGGCACAGTAGCCTCAGGAAGTTAGGGCTCGAAGAGTTAAAACCCAACTCTGAACTGCACAAAACTGCTGGTACAGCCAAATTGCCAATTTCACTGTAATAGCAAAAAGATGCACACAGTGAAAGTAAACTGCGGTAGCAAAACTGACGTAACATGAATTTTATATCAACGACAGACACCTTTTTTTTCTCTCATTATATCTCTGGTTAAGTTTGGCAAAGTCGTCAAAAATTCAAAATATTATTTTTCTCATATCTTGAGTGCTTGAAAATGAGACATGTCAGATAATTTTAACATGGAAAGAGTTTTATAACAAAATTTTCTGACACAACAAAAGAATCAATGTAAAAAAAGAAGAGAGGACATTCCATCATTGATTAAGAAGTAAAAAATTGCGCAAAGAAAATCAAAAGCACTTCAAAAAGACATACAAATTCATCTTAATGGGCAGAACACTTACTTGTTCTTTAAAGCCATCATATCTGTGAATGATACCAGTGGTGAGAATAAACTTCAGGCAATATCCTTTCGCTCTCTTCAACCACTGTACTTTGCTGACATCACCACCTTGAAACTGGTCTACTTTTCCCGTTTTATTGTTTTTGAAGACAACACTGCCAGTCTGCAATTTTAACCTTCCAGGATTCTGCAAAGAAAAAAAGTCATAAATCTGTTTTTACATTGCTCAAAAAATGTTGAAGCTCTATCTATTATTCTATTATTAAAGAGCTTTCGTGTCCCTGTTCAACAATATGTTTGTATCTGTTAAATATTTGACATAATTTTATTTAGCACAAAAAACCCTTTGTTTTGGTCAATTTGATCGTCCATACCGATAGACAGTATTCAGAAAGAGACAGAGAGAGAGAGAGAGGGGAGGAGTAGATCTTGAGAGAACTTCCGGGCAAAACAAAATGACGACCCGCGAAGTTCGGCTCGATTCGAAAAGTGAAATAGTCAAAGCATCTTTGAAGATGATCAAATTAGCTTACTTTTGTGCTATAAGATAATTTTTTCTTGGCTTTTATCAATTTGATCATCCACACCGATAGACAGTATTCCAAAATGGGCACTACTTGGATATGGTGGTCCCGACTTTTGTGACGGGGAAAATCTAGATTCTAGATCTAGTTTTGACCCCAACTACGATTTCTTCTGGTTCTAAGTCTAAACGATTACTTTTTGATTCGCGTGCCGATATGGAGAGATAGCCTTTCAAACCTAATGCAAAACATGAAATCGTGGTCAAATTCAGGGGGGCATCCCCCCCCTGAAACACCCCATGCTTTTTTTTTTTAAGTCAGAGGGGCAACCCCCCTTGCCTTGTGAAAAACAAGTGAAGTTTGTAGGCTAGATTTAGATCTAGGCTACTGATAAAACAAAACATTGATACCGAATATTTAAATCAGTATCGATATTTCAGTAGATCTAGGCCTACACAAGTCGGGACCACCATATCCAAGTAGTGCCCCAAAATGAGGAAAAACAGGTCTTGTTTCACACCGGGTGAGAATAGCCTACGCTGGCAAGTTTCACCCGGGGTGAGAGGTAGATCGTATTTTTATTCTCACCCCGGGAATAGCCACTTCCCTACTTTTAACTTCCAGGTCGTCGGGTACTATCGCAGCAGGGTTGTAGATCTAGACTTAGTAGTTAGTGTGCTCTGAAAACACAAGAAAGCGACCTGACCCGACCTGGCCGTGTATGTGGACACCCCCTATTAGATCTAGAGTCCAGATCTAGATCTAAACTCTAGCTAGGACACTTATTCAGTAGTTCCAACCCCGCAATTGTTATTCGCCGGTACGGGCCCCAAGAGAAGGGGGTTTGCGGAAGTCTGTGGCACTGTTGCTATCGCAGCCTCCGATTGTTGGGAAGTGTTTATCAATGATCCCAAGGTCTATCATAGTGTCATATGACAGGAAGAAGCCGGAGACCGAATTGCTGACGTACACCATTGACTGGCAGGTAATTCTTTGTCCAGATGGGGATTGCCCTGAAAAGTGCCCAGGGAACGCACCGATGATGTTAATTGGGTTTTTGTTGGCGGCCCTGATATCCATGCGGACAGTGTGAAGATCCTTGGCAACAAAACCCGCTCTCTGGAAGTCCTGCAGACCCCACAGGTTGGACTGGGCCCCGGTGTCTGCTAGCCCTACCACTGTGGTAGTCCGGATGGGTTTACGCTGATGGATCCCAAGTTCAAACTGTACTGTAGGGTGTTTTGAGAACTGGGCCCGCCGCCACTCGCCCTTGGTGAAGATCTTGTGCTGCAGGGTGACGGCCGACACCTGGGAGATCTGATCACCCATAGAGACCAAAGTGTTCAATCCGGTAGGTTTCTCCCGGGGCTGTGCAGGGCGGCGCCGCTTCCCACGCCAGCAGTCTAGGCATAGTTTGTGGGGCTTCGTGTTCCACACGCCACTTTTCTGTTTGTAGGGGCGGAACTTCTGTCCGCAGTCAGGGCATGGGATGGTCTGTGTCCGCTCGTCTGTTGCTGGTGCCAGGGCCATGCTCTTCTTGAAGCTAGACATTGCAGAGAACGTAGACAGTGGGGTGGCGTTGCGGGCCATCTCTCGAGATGACATCATTCACCGACTTGGACTGGATGCCATCAGCACTGAGGGCTTCTCGACGAATATCAATGTCGGCAATTCCTGCCAGTAAGACATCTCGGGAGGCGTCCTCTGTGTAGTCAGCATAGACGGACTTGCCACACTGGCACTGAGTGAAGACTGTGAATGCACAGTTCTCCGCTTTGTCCTTCACCCTAGCAGCAAACGTACGGAAGTTTTCCTCCGGGCTTTGCTTCATCTGCATTAGCTCAGCTCGTAGAACTCCTTTGGCTGTAGGAATGACAGCGAGCTTCCGCATCGCCTCCAGGACTTCGTTGAGGCTGCGAGAGGTGATACCGGGGTCTGCTTTGAGCAGTAGGTCACCCAGAGTTTCGCTGGCACATTGGAAAAATTGGGTTGGGGCGGAAGAGTCGCTGATGGCAGATCCATTCCTGAAGGCTTCCCATCTCCGGCCAAAGGCATTCCACGTTTCTTGGTTGACGCCAATATCAATCCTTGGCCTCTCGAGTTTCGGCCCTCTTGAGGAAGCTGCAGTTTGATTTTGATGGGAGAAAGCATGTATGTTCAGCAAAGCAGAGACCACGGAGGGGTCCTCGTCCGGCGTTGTATACGTGCAGCCAGGCGCAGGGCAAGAGACAATGACCATTGTGGAGGGTAAGGCACGGTTTGTGGAGTCGGCGACAAGCGCACCTCGGCACTCAGTATTTCAGCGGTGGCGAAGCGACGGACGGCGGATATACGTGCAGGAAAATGGCGGATTCAGCTATAAACGGAAGCGCTAACGAAGTTGATTTGATGTCGTCATAAAGAATGACTCATCACTTGTCGGATAATGTCAATGAACTTTTAATAATTCAACGGGGTTAAAAGTGATGACGACATCAACTGAAATGAAATGGAAGACACAAGACGGTGATGTAGAACGGAATGAAATGATGAGTGATCGCACTGACAAATGAATCTAGACCTGCATGCATGGAGTCCTCGAGGGGCGCAGAGTGATGATGATGATGATAGGGCATGAACTGATGAATAACACTAATAATACAGCTACAGGGGTTTGCCTCCCCCCCCCCCCCCTGACCTTTAAAAAGAAATATGGTGGGGGGTTTCTTCAGGGGGGCATGCCCCCCCTGAATTTTACCATAATTTGATGTTTTGCAGTTGTTAGATCTAGAATCTAGATCTAGATCTAGATATCTAAATCTAATATCTAGATCTAGCTTTGATTTGAATCGATATCTTAGCAGCTCGCCATGGATCAAACGTGTGTATAGATCTAGGAGATCTAGGCTCGGTAAATTTTTACTTTCACTCCCGCACACAGATGCACTGTTTCAGGGGTCAAACTGCTGTACTGTTTGCTGCAGATCACACATAAAGCCACTAAAACTGTCGCAAATCAATTATTTTCAAGACAATTTCAAATCTAGCTGTAAAATATCAAATTATGGGTGTAAAAACAGGGGGGCATGCCCCCTTGTAACCCCCCAGATTTTCTTTTACCCCAGTGGGGCAGGCCCCCCCTGGAACCCCCCGATTGGTCCAAAGCATGTCTATCTCGGTTAAAAACAATCAAATATTTCAAAAACCATTAATTTGCGACGGAAATGAAGTTGATATTCTCGTGTTCAGCGCATCAATATTTAGATCTAGATTCTAGATCTAGATTCTAGATCTAGATCTAGATCTAGATCTAGATCTAGATCTAGATCTAGTAGAAAATAGACAACTGGTAGCTGAGTGTGAGACGGGAGGGAAAGTAAAAAAATACCCTAGGCTCAAATAAGGGGGGTGGTGGGAACTACTGTAAAAGACTCTAGATCTAGATTATATCTCTAGATCTAGATCTAGAATTTAGTAACCAGCGTGTTCGTTCGATGAGCCTCAGCCTCATTGACTTCATTGAGTTTGAGGCGGCTGATCATCGTAATCGTTGTCATATCATCCGTTGTCTCACAAGATAAAATTTCAAAAAGACAAAATTTAGAGGCATACCAATGCTCCCCTAATTTCTTGTACAACGTCGCCATATTCTTGAACATCCCCCATTTTAAATTAAAAGTAAACACTCTCTCAAAGAAAAAGAATATCCACTGTCAACAAATTCTCCTCCGCCTGGGTTTTCGCGGATTCTTCAATATGACTGCTATTCAAAAAGCTGGACTTCCGGTGTTTCGTAAACATTGGTAACAAAAACTATCAACTTAAATCGGAATAATAATAATATGTTTCTGTAAGAAATGTGTATTGTCCAGGTGAAAGCCAAAAATGGTTGGAGTGTGTTTGTTATTTTTGTTGTTGTTGTTGCTGTTGTTTTGAGGTGGGGTGAGATGGTTGTAGTTTGTTGTTTTTTAAATTTAAATTAATGCTCTTACCAGATGAATGTATAACACTAGTGATAGTGATAATAGTTCTAGATCTAGTAATTATTGTAACAAATGGGACTAAGGACTATCGGCATTTCTCTTTTAGTGAACAGAATTATCGCAGACTTTCTTTTTCTTTTGCTTCAGAGTTGAAATACATGTAGATCTACATAATATGTACATTGTTTTGGGTATTTTCATTCATTGTACGTGGATGTATCAGTGGGTAGGCAGCCTATGAATTTGTGCATGTTGTAGGTCTGTTAAAGTGTTAAAGTGTTTGTTTGTGTGCACGTGTGAAAATATACATGAGTAGGTGTGTGTGTGTGTGTGTGTGTGTGTGTGTTTGTGTGTGAGCATGTGTGTGTGTGTGTGTGTGT